GAGAGAGGTCTTCCATCTTTGGCGAACGCGCGCGTAATCCGCGTTAGTGTTTGTTGCATTTTCGGACCGCGGGCGGAAAAGGGTGATCGCTCGGTAACCCGCGAGTTCCTCTTTCCAATCGCTCGTAAATTCCCAAATACATGTCAGCGCGGCGGTATTTAATCTCGGGAATCTCGGGAAAGCCGCGCGTGCAACGCCCCGCGAGTTTCGGTACTTGATGACGAGATCCTCGGACACCCACCGTTACGCGTCTTCTGGGCGTTCGCTACGCTCGCGCGCGAGTCCGCGCGCGCTCGTTTCTCGAGTTACAAAACTCCTGCACGCTTGCCGAGCCTCACGCCTAAAACAATATTGGCGGGGACCAACACGGGGGCTTCGGCCGCACGGTTGTGCACATTAGATATTTATTTAAGGCCGCCCGACACGGCCGCTTTGCTACTCGTTCGCCGTGAAACCCGGCCGGGCGTGTGCGTGAGAGCGCGAGTGTGAGTGCACGCGCGCTTACACACACGCATGTAAGTGTCATTGACATAGGTGCCGCGCGAGAGTCTTCGGCACTAAGTACCCCAAACTCGAAATGTTGACCTGGTTAATAGCTCCGTGTTTGATTAGACTACTGTAGTTCGTGTAAGCCGCGCGGCACCGGTAATGCGACTCTCGCCGCGCGACGGCGGTTATGCAGAAATGGATCGGTAATTAAGGACGCGCCCTTCTTTCGTCTTCCGTGTCCGCGACGCGGAAAATTGGGCGACGCTATGTTTAGCTACGATGTGCCGCCGACACCGCGATCGACCCGCGTATATCGGCCAACTTGTCGCGTTGAAATGTACAAGCGGAGGCTGCAAGTGAGTTCTTGCCGCTTGCCGTGTAACATTTCCCTCCTCAATGATGAACTGGAAAAAGGACCTAGGAAAAAATTCCGTCGGAGCGAGTCGAATTAAACGCTCTTCAGGGTGTGTGTACAGCGAGCCAACTGCTCGAATTCTTCCGGTAAAAATTCTCGCGGTCTTTTAAACTCTTGCTTGCGCGCAACCGAGTCAAGATTTAGCTCAATGAGGCGATTTAACGCTGGCCCGACGCATTACCGGTCGTGATCGTCGTCGATTCGCTTCCGCCAGAGGTTACAATTACTCGTACTACGCGGTGTTGCGAATCAGAGTCACGGGGAAAAAACATGTATGTTTTATATGCAGGGTGTCCGGGATCTTTCGGAAACAAAAAATTACAGTACAGGTCAATCGGAGAAGAAACGTCGTAACATCGTATCATTTTGCAAAAATCACAGTAGTTATTAAGTTATTGATAACTGAAAATAGCCACACTTAGAAGATTTTTTAATTGATAACTTGAAAATTTGCGTACTTATTTGTAAATGATACGCAACTATCTTGTTCAAAATGACCTAATCTGCAATTATACGATGGCTATTGTGTCTAGCGATAAGTATGGGTACATTGAACTTTGAACCCTGTCGCTAGGTACAATAACTATCATATCATTGTAGAATTTGAGTCATTCTAAAAAAAATCCTTTACCACTTTGCAAATAAGTACGCAAATTTTCAAGTTATCAATTGAAAGAGTCTCTAGACGTGGTCATTTTCAATCATCAACAATTTGATAACTATTGCGATTTTTGCAAAATGGTACATGACTCTTCTTCTCAGTTTCGTCTGATTAATCTTCGCAACTTTTCGTTTTCAAAGCATCCCGGACAGTCTATATACACGATTACGCGGTTTCAGCTTCGTTGTTAACTAAATTTCAAGTTCCAATTTCTACGACGGGTCGTTCATCTGTCATTCAATATTTATACGATTTAACTGGACTGCGGTTCGCGTTAGAAAATTTTGCGCTAGCCTGAGACTTAATTTTCCTTATCCGATTCTTTCTCCAGTGCAGCCAATTACATTTCAGACGCAGACGGACTTTTGTTTGTTGCAACTTGGATCTACAGTCGCCTTTGATTGGATGATGCCGTAATAGGCCGATTTGCCGAGAGGACTCCTGCGTCCGTTCTCTCGAAACGAGTTCCGATAATTCCCGCCGTTTTGCCAATCACGGTTTAGCTGTCTTGGATCTTGTTACGCATTCAACGCGATCGTCGTAAGGCACGTCAAAGGGAGCGCTTCCACCCCGTTATTTTCCGACTCACTAATTTACACTAAATTCGCATTTTCCGCATTGCCGGTCTCGGAGAAGAGAAAGTCTCAGGGCGGGGAAGGTGTGAGTCGGCCAAAGGAAAATCAGAGAATACGCTTCGTTTCGCCGTGCCAGGTTACACCGGGAGAGAGGGAAAGGTTAATTATCGAATAACAAGGGTTGCCGTTTGAAGGACAGATCACCGGAAAGCTCGGCGTGGCAGATTTCGTCGTTTTTAATGCTCCTGGCAGTCGCGGCGCGCGATTTTTCTTTCCGTCTTAAAGAGAGTGGCGTCAAGAAAAACTTCGCAGATCTCGCCGTTGCGATAATCACTGCTTAGCAGACTGTCATTACGTGACAGACAACAATGGCATCGGCTGATTGGCATTGGACGATCGAGTTTGCACCCAGAATATATCCAGAAATGATCGATTAGGAACGAACAAGAAACAAAAAACGAAGAAGGCGGACGAGAGAGTGCGGAAGCAAAAATATTAATAAACAAAAGAAAAAGAAAGAAAAGGCGACGCAGTGCATTTGAAACTCGCATATGTAAAATCCGCGTTTATAGTCTAGTATGCCGAAGTCTTTCAGCGTGCCCACAATCCTCGCGCATTCCCCGAGATAAATCGATCCTTTTTGTAATTCCCCCCGCGGTGTGTAAGTTGGCATAAGTATCCGCTGGAAGGCGGAACCCCGGGTAGAGGGAGGGAGGGTGACGGGGGAGAGGGCGGCAAGCAAAGCCTGGATCTACGGCTCGAAAGGCAACGAAAGCCATTGATCCTGGCCAACAAGGAGGCGATCGCTCGCTCCAGCGATCAATGAAGAGAGAATAAAGGGACTCGCCCGCAAGCCGACTTACACGTTTCAGCTACGATGTAACAAGGATCACTGTGAACGCTCAATCGACCGATCGATCGGGGGAGCCGGGGATCCGCAAAATCCCGCGGTGCAGCAGCGTCGTCGTCGGACGTTCGAGACGGCGACGTGTGGGTTGCAATTAAAAACGGAATCGCGTCGAACCGCTACGCGATATCGACCGGATGAAAGTGCGAAAGAAGTCATCGCAATTTGCGCGACATCGAGGTAACCATCTCGACCACCCAGGCGGAACAGAAAATCATGATGACATCAAAGCGACATCAGAACGATGAGAAAATGAGTTTTCCTCATCATTTTGACGTCATCTCGATGTCATCATAATTTTCTGTTCTTCCTGGGTGTGAGAACGAAAATCTCAAGTATCCGATAGCGAGACTGGCAAAGCGAAAGAATAAAGTCCCATTTGGCGGAAGCACGGGGGGGATCCTCGCGGGGAATCCCCGCGAATCTTCGAAGCTGGAGATCTTACGATCGCGCGTGGTCCTTCACGGTCCTGCCCGGCCGAATCTCCGCGCAAAGGAGTTGCCGAGTAAATTCGCTTGCTCCTTTACGTCGTGTCCTCCCGCGGAAACCAAGCGTGAGTGCAAGTCTCGTGCCGAGTAAGAGTCGATTTTCCTTGCGGCCCGCTCGGCCGCCGCTCGGCGGCTCAACTTTGCTAACGATAATCTCAAAGGCGATCGCGGCTACAACTCGCGCACGCGGCATGTGGACTCGCTGTGAAAGCATCTGTGCAAACGATTAAACGGGCCCGTGGGCCCGTGGGCCGGCTACCGGCGTGGTCTACAAACATTTTGACGCTCGTTCACGTTACGTGAAAGAGCGTCTCTCACGCTCCTTGACACCGAAAGGGCCGGATCCGAAAAGGGGCGTTTTATGCGCACGCCTTTCCTCGCACGCCCTTGCACCGTCGCGCGCTCTCGAGGACGAACTCGTTGCATGCGCGAGCATTTTAACCCTTCGTCGCTGGCGGCACATGCGGCCGAGAGAGACACGCGCGCTTCCATATCCCGTAAATAATCGCAGGCGTGCTATTGCACGCACGCACGCACGCACGCACACACACACATACATATACACGCGTACGCGTGTCCACAAATCTCTCGGAACGTTTGCCGTGTTACGCGGGCGCACGAAATTACGGATGAAATTCTGTCCCGGATTCCGTCGCGGATCGTAAAACGTCCAAAGTAGCCTGCCGGCACCTGTGGATTTGGACATTTTTACTCAATCAGCCACGTTCACGTTTCGCATAATCGGCAGGTGTGCTTTAATGTTACTCCGGCTTGATCAGTAGCCGGCGATGTGCGCGTATTATCTCGCGCGGCTTATATCACCTGCGTGTAAAATAATAGCGCGAGCGGCCGTGCGCGCGGGGAGTGCATCGAGAGCGGCGCCGAGAGATCGTGTCGTTTCCTCGCGTCGCTACCTCAAATCTTCGAGGAACCGCGAACGTTTTAGCAATATAAATATGTACACACGCCCGATACATGTACCTGCTACTCCGCCGCCACCGCCGTCGTCGTCGTCGTCACTCGCAGCACTCGCCGGCCGCTGTGTCTTCGACGCTCGGCTTTTTTCCACCTTCACCCGCCCGCCTCCGCGCCCTTTCCCTCCGCGAATATCGCCATTGCTATTCAGATATTCGAGACTGCGGGGCTTTAATAAAAATATTTGCTAAGAAAACAGTTACGTTCGGGGGTGCGCCCGGCCCCTTTCCCTCTCGCCCGTCGCGCCTTCCCTCCGCCCCGCGAGCAAGGCGAGTTATTCTTATATCCAGATTCTCGCGGCGTACTCTCTTTCTCTCTCCGACGGCGATTTCCATAAATGCAATAATTCGAAATAAGACAACTTCGGCGATCTTACCTCCGACCCAGAACGAACGATCTGCCGGCTGGATATTCCGGAATTATTCCGCCCGTTATCGTAGCTGCCGCGCGCGCGCGCACGATCTCTACAATAATAAAATGTAAACTGTACTTGACTTAAGACACTTTATTATACTTCGTAACTCTCTTACAATAACTGACGTGTGGATATAGCGAGAGGCATGAAGATAGATATTAGTAAACGTTCCAATGGTAAACGGAAGCCAACTCCGCTCGTTTTATTTGTTCTTGAATAATCGCTCTCCATCGCCTGATAATCACCTGTCGTCGTTGGAGGCATCGCGAGAATGCAATCGGCGTCTCGACACGCCGTCATTCTCTTCAGACGGTTTCGGAATCTGTGTCTCAGTCCTTTCTTCATGGTATATCCGATATTTGTCATTTGGTACTCATCGACGTTCAAGTCGTAAGCCTCGACAAATTCCTGAGGAAAGTAATCGAGATGTTTAAACGTGAGACGCGTTTTGAAGCACCGAGAGGCGCGCGCATCAGTCGGATATCGCACGGAGAACGCTATACCTGGTCGTCCTCGAAGACGCAGAAGATGTTATTGAAATTCGAGGAGACGCGGCGAATGCAACTGAACGTGTTGTTCGCGGCGTCCTGACACTTGCACATCATCTCCTTCATGCACAACTGTAAGAGAGCATGATGAGCTTAACTCTCGGGGAAATACAACGCCGCTAGAATCGAAACATTTGGTACTTACCGTAACGTTGAGATCCCTGTCGCTTGGACATCCGGAAGACGATCTATGTTTGGATCTCTCCCCCCTGTATTCTATCAGAAGAGTACGATCTACTGGCAAATTATCTTTCTTCTTAAACAATGTTCTTCCGTCCGATGGATACTCGACGCCGCCTATATCTAAGAGCGTGGCGAAGATATCTACGCTACTGACAGGCGCGGAAATTGTAGCCGGGGCGATTCCTGGACCAGATATCATTAATGGGACTCGTATGTCGGTCTCGTAGAGTTGACGCTTATCCATCGGCATACTAAACTGACCTGCCGAGATCAAACGCGCGCCTTGTATAAAAGTGCATTAAAACTGCGCCTGCAGAGTAAAAAAGTCTATTCTCAGACTCTCTTTAAGAGAAACACATTTAACGTAAATTTGAGTTACGTTAATACAAAGGCGTGTGTGAAGCGCATAACTACGAAATAAATGCGTTATGTATAATTTCTCATTTTTAAAACCGTAAATTTTTTAAGGAAGGATATTTTTCGTACGTTTTTATACATAATGGCTGCGTTCAGCAGCAAAATTAGTTCAGTGAATGCTTTGGTGATTATTGGTGATTATTGTTCTTCAATACGTTCATTTGTATCCAAGGATCTAAAAAAAGGATCTAAAAATCAAGATATCAAGGATATATCCTGTCCTATATCAAGGATCTAAAAAAAGATATTTAAGAATACAATACAATCGCTCGCTGGCTATTTTCTCTGCTGAACTCGAGTAATCTAATTGAAAGGATACTCAATGTACCAAGCACGCTATCGAGTATATTACCAATATGATATCCGTTGTCGGAAGTGTAAATGAAGTAGGTATCATGCAAGAGATTTCGCCTCTTCAGCGACTCGTGTACGGTTTCGACCAATTCATCCACCGCTAACAAAGTCTCCCATCTTCTGCTGTATATATCATCCAATCTCGGCAACACGTCGTCCGGTAAAGGAGTCGGACCATTCCTAACTAACCAATGTTTATTCTATCAAAAAAAAAAAAAAAAAAAGAAAAAAAGATAATACACTTCAAATGCCAGATGATTTCAAAAAATTATCTGTACGCTTGATTCCTTGCAATGCTGTACCTCATGCACTGGCACGTTAAAATTCGGGGTCCTCTTCGCTTTCGTGCCATTGTATTTATGGTTATGTCTGTCAGCAGGTGTGAAGGGTGCGTGAGGGGCTGGAGGAGCTAATACCATGAGGAACGGCTGAGTGTTGTCGGTGTGTTTGTTAATAAAATCTACAGCCAGATTACTCTGCAATACACCAGGGCAAAACTGTAATCTTCTCGTTTTCCTTCTTCCTCTCTTTTATTCGATGGATTTCACACGAGATGCGAGTGAACTCAAATCACGAAACGGAGGGGCAGAGATTTCATGGAAAGATGGAAAGAGATTTCAAAATGGCCGTACTTACGATCACGTCGGTAAGATAATCACTCGAACCGTTACCGTATAACCTCCCGGTGCCGTTTATCGACAACGAGTAATCGTAATACTTGGAGTTCCCTAAAAGACCGGCCCACCAGTCCCATCCTACCGGCACATGGGCCGCTCCGCCGACCTTATTGTTCCCGTACTGTGTTATGAGGAAGAGAGAGAAAGAGAGACACACGTTAGTTTATCTATCTGAAAACTTTACGAACGGCAGCCAATAATTGAGAAGAGCAACCACAGATGAACATTAATACGATTTTAAAACGGAAAATCCGCTCGCTTTGCATCACTTCGTCCACGTAATGCTCACGTAGTGAGGCAACATTGAGAAAAGTAGAAAATGACAAATTTTTAAAGCAACGTTTTTTTATGTTGTCAATATTTCTTTGTATTGTTCACTTTAACTACTTGTGCGCTCTTATGGAACAAATCGTGTGTGTGCCAAAAGTCAAGCCTACCTCATTCAAATATTTTCCTGCGTAAAACGTTTTGTATCCGGCGAGCTTTCGCAAAAGAGCGGCGAATGTCGCCGGCTCTTGCAACTGCTGCCATTGTGTGTCGCTGCAACCACCGGCGATTGTATTATTCACCGTTAAATGGTTATGTTGGTAACGTCCGGTCAAGATGGACGCTCGGTTGGGGCAACAGATCGGCGAGGCTACGAACTGAAAACGTGACACTGTTCCTTGAAATATCGGCTCAAGAATGTTTCGTCATTACGGAGCTTTTGCCATACCGTCTCTCAGTCTACGGTAAACGTAAATCGTGCACGTAATTCGTTCAAAAATAACGTCGCAATGTACGCGACCGATAGGGAGTTTTTGCAATACCGTCTCTCAGATAATATGATCGCGAACGTTATTCGCTGAGAAATAACGTCGCAATGTACGCGACCAATAGCATTCACGATCAACGTTTACCGTATCTGAGAGACGGTGTCCGCAAAATCTCCCTATTCACGATTTACATTTACCGTATCTGAGGAACGCAAAAATTAACTGCTTCCCATTCTCTCGGCACATTTGTTGAGAAACTTACACAATTTGTAAACGTAGCGCCATGCTGCCCGATAAGATCCATCGTGCGCGTCATCGGGGTCTAAAATCATACGTTAAATCCGGATGCACACGATCGGTATTATATTTATTCGGTGTTTCCGATCGGAGAGCGATTGAAATCGTTCGCTTTGAATCGCCGTTCTTCCGTTGCGTTCGCGGGAATGTCTGGCAACAGCGAGTTTCGTCCGAAACAATGCGCACGCGACTTTTAAGTTTCACGATTCCTCCGTTACAATGCGATTAACACGTTCATCGCCGTTCACGCGATATCGCGTGTTGCGGCCCCTCATCAGACGGCCGTTCACGCGATTGTTTTTTATTATGAGTGACAAACCAGGACCCTCGAAAAGACTCAGTTCAATGCCAGTTCAATCGTGCAAAAAAAACGACTAAAAATAAATAAAAGAAAAAATAACTTTGGCCACCACACGAAATTCAAATTTTCAGTTTGGCAATGAACGTGTTAACGACAGCGCGGAAGAACCAACGATTTCAAAGAAACTCGCTCCGATCGCAACGTCCCATCGTCAACGTAACCTCGCCAGGCGGAAACAAGAGACGCTACCATGCCATCTAGAGTCAAGTCCTGATCGTCGGTAATAATCAGGATGATATTCTCCGATGCGACCAACAGCAAATAATTCAACAACGCAAGCGGGATCGCCAGCCACATGTCGAACGGCGGATCGCACGATCGGACACAGTCGAATATTCGCCGGGGGAGGCCGAGCCGTATAATCGCTTTCTAGTCGATCGCGACGGAAATAAACTCAAAGCCGGCGAACTGACGCGGTGGCTCTCCGCCAAGTAACTCGCGAGTACTACTCACTCGTCACGTTAGCGTCGCATATTAATATATCGCGTCCGGCGTCACACACATCTAGATTTGGCGGACGAAGGCGAAGGCGGCCATACGGCTAATCGCAAAAGTATAAAATTACTATTGATTGCGGCTTCTCGCAACTCCGACGTTTGTCCGTCCATACGCGTGAGAAAGAGAGAGAGAGAAAGCGAGAACAAAACCTCGCAATCGGCTCGATACCGGCGGATGTTAGCAGACAGCGCGAGCGACGTTCAGCGGCGAGGCGAGTGGAGGGAGGGGGGGGGGAGAGAGAGAGAGAGAGGGGGCACCGAACACACGATAGATGGCGCAAGCGTATAGGAAGCTGTCGGGGATTGTCGGACTCTCGCGTTTGCCTCACGCTCAGGCACGCACACGGCACGACCGATGAACGAACGACCGCGATACCGTCACGCATACCGTACACTACGCACGCACGTTACGCACGTCCGTCCGTCCTCCCGCCGGTGAACTAACTACCTTCCTCACGCACGCCGGACGTACATCGCGCCGCGTGACACGCAATCCAGCCGCGAAATAATATCGGCGAGCTCTACCCACACACACCGCTAGCCCCCCGGCGTCCCGGACATTGCCGAGAGAGATTACGCAGTAAGTTTTGTGCAGTTCGAATTAAAAGGCCGTCGATATTTACCGCCCGGTCGTCATTTTATTCGCGCGTCAACGTGCACCACTATCCTCCTCTCTGTCTGGCGCGCCCGGCCGCGCGCGCACTCTCTCTCTCGCTCGCTCGCTCGCTCGCTTTTCCAGAGCTCTGGCGCGTGTTTTTCTCTCTCTTTCTTTCTTTCGCTCTTTCTCTCGCAGTCCGTCTTACTCTTGTCTCTTGTGATATAATCGCGGCAAGCAACGCGCTCGCGTGCGCGTTCACAGCGCGCGGCGTTAGGTAGAGCGGCGCGGTGCGTTCACACGGAAGTTAGTCGCCGGTCGTATGTGAGACGGCGACGGCGTCGGCGTCGGCGGTCGACGAGCACGCTCAGAGTTTTGCGGAAACGGCCGACTGAGAGCGCGCATTGTACATGCGATCGTCGCGCTCTGCACCGACGGAATAGCCAATCGGCGCGCGCGGCGGCGTCGTCGTCGTCGTCGTCGTCGTTCTATCGAGCTCGTTGGCACGCCCTGCGACTTCCATTGTCCTTCTTTCCGGGATTCTCTGCAAGGAAGGATGGCACAGAACAATTATTTCGGCTTTACTCACGGCGGAACGCAATATGGGTACGAAATCGTCTGCATATCATTATTATTAAGTAGATAGTATTAAGCTAAGCAAACATTCGCGGCCGCGAGCGCGCCCGCGGTAGTGATAAAAATGTCGCGTTAACGTCGGCACACGCGAGACGGCTCACAGCCGGCTTGGCGGCCATTTCTCTTTGCCGAGAGCAGAGAGCGTCCGTCGAGCGCGTCCATCTCCGGCCATCGGCCGCCGATTCTTTTAGCTACGGGTCTATCCGTCGTTCGCGCGCTGCCGCACACATCGCTCTCGTCCGCGGCCGCTCGACGGGCCCTCGTTTGCTTCAGCAGACTCGAATAATCTGCCCTTCTTTCGGATAGGGCCACTAGCGCGGCAGCTTATCAAACCGGCCAAGCGGGATACGCGGTAACACCAGCGGCGACCGCCGCTACGTACACCCAACGACCCGCTGCTGCAGCTGCCACTGGTTACGAGACTTACCAGGCGGCCGCCGCTGCGGCTGCGACCGGGACAACATACGCTGGTAAGCTCTATGATTCAAGCTCTGTGTGTATGATATATATCGTGTAGAGGTCTTATTCGGATATAACGGGTCTGAGTATTTGTTTTCGATAGATGTTCTTCAAATGGATCATAATAGACATAGGTATATGTACCGCAAGTTTACGCCACGTTGTTGCTTGATTACAATTTTGTAAAACTGACTTTACATCCTGACTGTACGACCTTTCACTATTTCTTCTTTTCTTCATCCTTTTTGCCTATTGTATGGCTTTTATAATTCGTTGTTGTAATTGTAAATGTATTCTGTTATTCTGTCAGTGGATCAACTTCTGGACTGTTGATACATGAATATGCAAAGAGAAATTTGTATCGGCCAGTGTAGATGATGATGATATAAATGATATAAAGTAAAACGCTATGGGTAGTATGTTGTTTGAAAGTTTCTTTTTTAATACGCTTGCTCCTACGCACAATATGGGCAAAGCACACAGAAAATAGGAAAAGTGGGAGCAGTTGAAATGTGAAGACCCTGAAATTTAGAAAAGAAAGGATCGCACCGTACTTACATGTATTGTGCCTATTTACACACACCACTACGAGCGATGTGACAGTATCTCAGGATGACAATTGTGACATTGTAAGGTGTTCTTGTAGCCGCTAATCCTGGTACTGTGGCTCAAACTTACGATTACGGCTACGGGCGGGCTGCACCGGCAGCTACTTACGACGCTACCAAGACTTACTATCAACAGCCAGCAGCTGCTGCTGCGACTTACACTACCACTGAGACACACTATCAAGCTGCGAAGCCTGCGTACAGCACGACGAGCGCTTACACCGGTACCGCGAGGCAAGCTACTACCACGGGGCAGGCCAAGACCTATCAGGCATCCAGCACAGCTTATCAACAGTCGAATCCTACGCAAAGCGCGACTTACTCGTCGGGATATACCGCTCCCGCTACACCCGCCGCTACACCGTCAACCGCGACAAATAGTAAGTTGCTTGATTGATCTTGTCTCACTGTATATATACACTTGTCTCCAAACTTGAAAAAAGAATGTTCGATCCTAGTCTGGCCACTAACTGTGACGTAGGAACTAATAACATGAAATTGATCCTCTCACGATACATGAAAGAATGTCAAATGAAAAAAAGAGAAGGAAATTCGCCAAGCTTCTGCTAGTGTTCTCGAGCGTGAATGATGATTCGAGGATGTAGCAGAAGTCTGGAATTTCTGTATCTACTCTCAAACGTGGAGTATGTACTTTCGGGTGTATCATTTGTCGGTATCTCGTTTCGTTCTCTCCGCGCGAGCCCGGCATTTCGCCTCGATGTATTTTGGCATGAATAATTAGTAATTGAAAAGAAAAAAAGAACAAATCTTACGTCGCGCGCGCGCGAGTACGAAAGGTTGTGACCGCTCCAAAGTTTGAGGTTTCAATTTCATTTCCCTTAGAAACGGCGAGTACAACGTATTCCGGCTACGACGCAGCGCTATATAGCGCTGCGACTATGTATGTAGCCCAACAGAGTGCAAACAGCAATTCCACTAACCAGAAGACTGGAGGTTGGCAGGGCTACGGGCGGAAGGGGTTCGGAGCTGGAGGGGGAGGGATGAAGGCAATGCGGCCCAAGCAGCCCCCGAAGCCTCAGCAACTGCACTATTGCGATGTCTGTAAAATCAGCTGTGCTGGACCACAAACCTATCGTGAGCATCTGGAAGGACAAAAACACAAGAAGAAGGAGGCTTCGCTTAAGGTGCCTCAGCAACCACCGGCTCGTGGAGCGGGCAACAGTCTACGTTGCGAATTGTGTGACGTTACTTGCACCGGAAATGATGCCTACGCAGCTCACATCAGGGGTGCCAAGCACCAGAAAGTGGTCAAATTGCACACAAAACTCGGGAAACCGATTCCTAGTGCAGACCCTACCGTTCTGAACCCGAAACCGGCAGCTGCCGCGAAGACTGCGGTGACTAAGAAAGCGACAGTGACGGCGACACCTAAAATTAATTTTGTCGCATGTAAGTAAATTCGCGGATTTCTGTTTGCTCATACGATACGATGCGCGCTATCATCGAAACCTAAAGGCGCACTTTACAAACATGTGAACGAACACACGTGCACGCTATATTATGTGATGTGTTTCAGCTGGAAACTTGGGCACGGTTAATCAGAATCAAACGACTGAAATTAAGCAGGAGGAACCAGCCGCCGAGGAAACTGTGGAGGAAGCTGCGGTCGACGAGAAGGATATACAACCGGTTGGCCAAGAGTACATTGAGGAAAACAAGTCCGAAGACGGCAAAATCATAAGTTTCAACTGCAAACTGTGCGAATGTCGCTTCAACGATCCCAATGCCAAAGACATGCACATGAAGGGCCGTCGTCACAGATTTGCCTACAAGAAGAAGGTCAATCCGGACTTGGTCGTCGACATGAAACCGAGCCTCAAGCAGCGAAAGATGCTGGAGGAGAAGTTGCGCAGGCAACAGATACGCGACGAATATTTACGTCGTAGGGAAGAGATCAATCAGCTGGGACCTATGGGGCCTATGCATATGGACGAAGACATGATGATTTACTGGGAAGAGAGGCGTCGTTACGAAGAGGAATGCGAATACTTCGAATGGTACCGACGATACGGACGCGGCCCAGGCGCGGCGCCGATCCCACGTGGTCCCTTCGCTGGACCACCGGGACCCATGATGATGTATCCGGGACCTCAAAGACGGCCAGACTCGTCAGACGATAAGCACGTATTGTCTCATCATACAACTATCTATCCGAAGGAACAGGAACTGTTATCGGTTCAAAAGATAGTTTCCCATACCGAAAAGGCGCTAAAGTATGTGTCGGATTCTTTGGCCGAGGCTGGTAAGACATCTCGAGTTTTTCCTCATTTTCTATTGCGAATCACTCGATGGTTCAACCCCGAGCGATCCCGAGCCGAGATTATACTGCAAAAGCACGCGTGTTTTCATCCACAGGTAAAAAAACTAGTCCCGCAAATGCCAATTCTACCGCGACGACACCTACGACTGCCGCGACTCCACAGGCAAACGCGAATGCGGACGCGTTGAAGAAGGAGGAGGCGGACAAGAAGAAGGCGACCACGCCTCAGAAGGAAGACGGCAGCGATGGAAATCTCTTTTCGTTTCAAAAGGAGAAGGAAGATTCCAGAATACTTCGCGGAGTTATGCGCGTCGGCAACTTGGCCAAAGGCCTGTTATTATCTGGTGATAATCACGTTTGCCTGGTTGTTTTGTGCGCTGAGAAACCGACAAGGTACACGAGACGAGTTTGCTCTCTCATCGTATTACGATTGCAGATACGCGCACAGTGATCGTCGCGATATGCAAATCTTAATCTCGTGCGTTACAGAGCGTTGCTCAACAAGGTCGCTGAGATTCTGCCCGGTGAGCTGAAGAACGTCGCCCCGGAGGACACGTACAACGTCGGGAAGCATCCGGAGTCCGCGGCTCTAACCGTTTCAGGGGGTACAGTCACCGTCAGCGTGACACTCACTAGTCCTTTGATGCGTGAGACACCTAAGACGACCGCGGCAGCAGGTGATTTCATTGTTTCGTATTTTCACGGTGGCCAAGAAAAGGATAACTACGAAGGCGAAAAAGAAAAGGCGGGGTTTCACGGGAATTGCACTTCTTTTATTTTCATACCGTTTTCCCGACCACTCCGCGACTTATGCATTTAGTTTGTTCTTTTCATGGCCCGCAAGATTTTCTGTAAGTTTTTTTAAGCACCAGGACGATGCGGGACGGCCAAGGACGATTCTCGACGGTTGCCAGTGTACATATACGCTCTCTAACATCCAGTTATAATTTCTCTCTCTCTCTCTCTCTCTCTCTCTCTCTCTTCGATATAGCTGCGTGCTTTTCAGTGTGTCCACGACAGAGTCGTCCTCTTTGCGACATGCATTTCTGAGCCACGAAGAACACGAAACGATACTGCTCGACTGGTATCGAGATAAATTTTGCGGGAAAGCATAAACTCTCTTAACACGATTAGACACTTTGCCTTGACCCGAGGGTGCCATCTCATTAGTAGTGATTCATTTCGCTTTGCCAACAATGTTCAACAATTCGAGCTAGAGTCTCTGTCGACGAACGTTCGTAAATAACGAGAAAAACGTAAGAAAAGTTTTGTCGAACGTGGACACGCTTGCGATAGGAGGAAACAACGCTGAGGCAATCTTAAAACTATGGACTTTTTGATCATGCATAAATGAAGACAGAAAATCCCTCTGACTCTTATCGAATGCTGTACGCACGCACTGCGATTGAAGCCTCCGAGATCTGACCGACTGTTCTATCGGCATCGGTACTACCTACCTTTCGAGCGGATAGAGGTGACGCTACCGATGTTGATAGGAATCGTCGGACGTTCTTGAGCAGCCAGAGCTAAGCCGTGCCAAAGAAAAAAGAACGTGAACGACGGAGGTGACTCCGGGGTGCATTGCAACGTACTACATTCGATCAGGCTTATATTTCTTCTTTTTTTTTCACGTTGGCGTTATAACGACACAGCCCACGACTTTTTACAAACGCGCTTGAGTTTTTTGATACCAATTACGCATATAGAGAGGGAATACCTAAAAATCTCTGGGCATGATCAAACACTCTAAGTGTTGTCTAAGCGTGTTGTGCTTTCTTTGTTGGAATCTCAGATAATGCTGGACAGCAGCAGCAGGAAGCTGCTCAACTGCAAACAACGCCCGCGGCCCCTACCGTGACGAAAGCAGACCCTCCGGACGTACTTCCCAAGGCTAAGTGTTTGGAGGCTTTAGCTGCACTCAGGCATGCCAAGTGGTTTCAGGTTTGAATCAATCAACTCTCAGTTCAAGATCTCGAATTGTCAGCGCCAATTCTGTTTGGCGCTAGAAACAGACCGAAAAAAAAAAAAGAAAACCAAACGAGCATATTTTCTTTTATTTTCTCCTGACGAGACGCGTGCAAGTTGTCCTTTTTCTCTCTCTCTCTCTCTTTCTCTCTTTCTCTCTCTCTCTCTCTCTCTCTCTCTCTCTCTCTCTTCTCTGTCAAGTCTTTAACGCAAGTCACCGACAAAGTGAAAGAAAGAAAGAGAAAAGAAGAAGCAGTCTTAGAACTTCCAGCCTTGTGACGGTTTTATTTTTATCATTAACCGACTTGTCGACACGACTCTGCCTGGCCGAGTCCCATCTGAGCGCGGTGTTCGATGTACGTCGTCCCATATCCGCTGATATTATATATTCTGTATGTACGCCAATCAATCGGCTTTGCCCACTGATGATCCGCTTTTCGCCGGAACGTACATTTTACGTTCATGCGCAACCAACGTTCTCTATATATATATATACATATATATATATATCTCTCTCTCTCTCTCTCTCTCGTCATCTCGAGGTGAAAAACAATTGCGAATGGCCCATGGTATGATAAATAGTGGCAATGAACCAGTGGCATCGTCCGTACGTTTGGCTGTCCGAGAGAAACAAGCACATCGCACCGAACACGAGCGTACATCGAACGCGTTCAGATGTGCCACGTCAGGCGTGCAATCTCACGAACAAGCAATATGTAAATGTGTATCTCGACAGTCACGCGCAACGCTGCTAGATGCATTTACATCTGCTTCTCGCTTGAACTCACCGACATCCAGAATAATAGGAAAGCAGTTTCTCTCTGCGAGACGTCGAATCACTCGAGAATAACATACGTTTGTATGTAGAAGAAAGAAAGAAAGCAAAAAGAAAAGAAGAAAAGAGAAAAGAGAAAAGCATAGTAGAGAAGAATGTGATTTTCTTTGTTTTGTTTGTACGAAACGCAGACCGCTCGACTTGCTTTACGATCAAGCACGTTCATTATTCTGGATCATTTTCAATGCGTTGTAGCCTAGACTGCGTCTGTTCTAGGTCTGTCTTATTATTCGAGAGTACAAATCAACCGTGTATATACGTATATATATATATATACATCTAGCTTTCTGCAAGATTACATGTATTTCGTTGTCATTGTTACTGTAACGAATGTAATTGTGCGGTTTACTTGCACAGCTTTGACAATCAAAGAGACAGACAAGCACAAACACACAGTAGTGTCATAAGCGTACCGGGTGTTTCTTTCTTTTGTGTGTAAAATTAGAGTCGAGTCCTATAGAAATCATTTTGTGATGCACAATTCTTGAGATATGCTGTAGTCTTTTTTTATTGCCGTTGCGACAATAGGTAAATACTATAAACGTTTAGGAAGTGAGAGACCGATAAACACCCGGTAAATATGATTGATATGGGCTAATGTGTAACTTACATTAGGGGCCTTTAGGCACGAGGCTGGGAGGATAGCTAAAGCCCACACAAAGCATTCGAAAGGAGTTAGTTTAGGCCGTCTCATCTGCAGAAGAGCCAGTGCTTCTGTGTCGCGTATATTCAATCCTAGTCACTCAGGTATTTATCCTGTTCAACAGGCTAGAGCGACTTCCCTGCAGAGCTGTGTTATGGTTATCCGTATAATGCGCGACCTTTGCAATCGTGTGCCGACATGGGGTCCGCTGAATCCATGGGTCAGTATTGCTCTTTATTAATTATTATATATTAGCCGCGTATTCCTAGGGTATTCCATGACAATAATCGATAATCGCGTATGAACGTACACGTATACAGGCATTGGAATTGCTGACCGAGAAGGTGATCAGCACCGCGGGATGTCCCCTTAGCCCTGGTGAAGCTTTAAGGAGGCTCCTGGAATGCGTAGCCGGTGGAATATTACTCCCAGGCAGTCCGGGTAAGTTTCGCAAATTGTGATTACCGACTCAGTCACATCTACAGTCTACGCTCGTGTAAACGGCGTGAAACGGCGATTGAATAATTGAGTAACTATTGGTGTTAAGCGATCGTGTTGTGATTGTGAACACAACATCGACAAGTCGATTTTATGCTGATCACGCTGTAAGCGTAAGCTATCTGATCTATCGATGCAAACAGAGAACTACATCGCTCTTAGACTTTCGTGTATAAACGTAGATAAAAATAATGTTTGTCTCGAGCTCGTTCCGTTCGTGTATCAATTCGCCTTTCAAATTTTTCAAATGATGAGAAAGATGACGAGACTGAGCGTGTCGCGGTGATGGTCGTTGATCCTGAGTGCGAGTACTTCGTATCTCTCGTATCGCGATTATCTCTCCCGCGATAACGCGCAGATGTTCATTGGCAATCTGATGGAAAAAGCTTGAGCGGCGGTCCTTTCGTTAATCCGCCGATAGCTAAGTGCGCGAGCGCCATAAAAATTTCGAAACGTTTGTCTGTGCCCTCAGGATTATCAGATCCGTGTGAGAAGGAAGCGGTCGACGCGATAGGCAATATGACGTCTCAGCAGCGAGAGGACATCACCGCTTCTGCGCAACATGCATTGCGTTTAGTAGCGTTCCGGCAAATCCATAAGGTTCTCGGTATGGAGCAGCTACCACCGCCGAAGTTTAAGGGTCGATTTGCGCGTAAACGAAGACGCGACAACAGCAACGGCGAGGGCACTGACAGCGAGGCTTCGAAGAAGGACAAGAAGGCGGAGGAGATCAAAATGGAGACCGATTCCAAGTAGATCCACCAAAAGATTCGTTTTACGAGATATTCGTAATTCTTGCGTAGAATAAGGAAACAGTTTTTTCCCGCTGTTGCTTGTATTAGCGAGTCATCGCGCCGTATTGGGACAACACGAAGCCGGATAAATGATAATCGTTGTAATTCTGAGGTCGGGCGCAATAACCACCTAATCAGATAATAAAGCGATTGGAAAAATCACACGAGGCATAACTCGCGGATTCACCATACGCCGCTCCTCTCGCCTCTACGTCTACGTCCTTAATGTAAGATTATTTCATGACGATGCTAAAGGGTCTCTTCTCTACGATAGACGGCATGCCGATACACATAGTGTCGTATAAATATGTTTTCTCTGATAGGCAATTGATGTATACATCAATTGAAGTAGATTTTAAATAGCACTGATTGTCTGTTCGAGAAAGCTCTCGCGTACATTAGACGTTAAAAGCGCTGAGCGCTTTTTTCGCATCGCGATACACTATCGGGTAATTTATGTATCGTAGAGCTGCCGTTTACTATTGCCATGAAGTAAATTTAGTCTTGACATTAGGTTTGCATTGGCAAAACTAATCGATGGTTGCATCCATTGACTTGGGCGCATTGTCTTGTAATTGTTCAGGTACGACTCCGCGTTACGAGCGTATGAACAGAAAGAATTTTGAACGAAGAGAGCTAAAAAATAATAAACATTTATAAGTTTAAAGTTAAGAATAGAAAATAGATTGTATTGAGAATTTGTGTGTATGTTTGTGTGTGTAGTCAGTGCAAAAATATCTAAACTACTTTTCCCTTGCGCTCCTGCACAAAGTGACAAACATTTACGGCATATGCTTTATCACGTGCATCGCCTCATACGAATGATTATTTGCAAGTCGATAAATTTCAATTGCTTCAATATCTATCATGGCAGGTAACTGCTTGCGTCAGATTTTTATTTTATTTTTTTTTCCCCTAAAGAAACGCAAGTAAACCGTTTTGAATTTCCTATACGGAACGTCGAACAAAACTCGGAAAAAAAGAAATGTTAACTTTAAACTCTCAAACACCGTCTGTTTATGTGATTTTGCTTGACTTGTGTAGATTCTTCTATTATATTTTCAAGTCATTATTAAATAAAACATACTAGAGGGATCTAAGGTTATTTGAATCATTTTGCCTGTCCTTTGATTTCTCTTGTCATTGTGTTTCGCCCGTTATGATTACTTGACCCGTTTTCTTTTTTTAGTTCTGAAATCTTCGCTACGAGCCGCTACCGTTCGCATAAGAAAATCGAAGTCAGTGCAACTTACTAGTGAATTAAACAAACTTTCACTCCTTCGAATAGTGCTACTCAATGATTGATTGAAAATTCCTTATGTTATAAAAAATAGGCAAAATTCAATAGGCTGCAACTTTGGTGAACGTATTGAAACGTATTATTCAAATGGTTCGAAAAGCATCTCTTTGAAATTTGCTTGAAATTTGCAGTTTTTAAAAATATAATGCGTTTCAACAAACAAATATTGAGCTTTTTATAAATATGTTTTTATCCGTGTGTGTGTGTGTGTGTATGTGTATATATGTCGTACATTGATTTATTTTATTTTATTCAATATTATTTATTGAATTTCTTTACACGATTAAAGCTGAGAGAGAACACTTTTCCTACAACGATGAACAACTCAGTATTAATCAAGAGGTATGCTTTCGAAAAGTATAAATAACATTTATATATCATGTTCCGTTTACGTCGCGACGTAATCCGATAAACTTTGTTACAAATTTTCACGTTAAACAAATTCCTGTATTTGTATGTATTGACACTATAAGAAATAAGTAAATTTTGTAGTCGGAAATAGCTATGTATCTGTAAAGTAGAATATTTCAAGCTGTAAAATATCTCGCTAATTATATAATTATAATTATTTTTGTCAAAGTCGCAACTCTTTGAATCTTGCCTATTTATGCGGTCGAAGAAAATAATTTAACCGATCATTTTCAATTTTTAATAATTCCAAAGATATAACAGGTTATTCAACATCAAAATTTTTGTATAGTCATTCTGACGTCAGTCCGTTTCTTGAAGTCTTACAACCACGTCAATACTACGAAGTTACGAATGACTCAGCGATTCCGTTAATCTGATTTCTATGTTTCTACGTTTTGGCAGCTGGACGTCAGTGTAAAATATAATCCGGAAATATTCCGACAAAGAAAAGCAGCGCGCATACCTCATATTTTGCGATACCCATCGGATTTCTGAACACTGATTATTGTGTGAGGCTAAACAAAAGAGAGAAAGAGAGAGAGAGAGTGTGAGCGAAAGGGGGAGAGGAAAAATAACAAACTAAAATATCGCCCAAAAAATCTCCGAATAAATCGCGCGGTGCACGGAAACAACTGCGTATGTCATGCAAACGAATGCGCAGCCAGAGACGAGAGAAAGGCACAAAGGAAAGCGGTTTGACAGAGCGCAAGTGGCAGGCGCGTATAAATAGCGTATGCCATGATAGCGTTATAATACCCATGAATTCGTCGCGCTAAAAATATGTGGAAAATGACCTCGCGCCCACAATGCATCGCACTCCCGTTCCCCGGAGCGAGCGATCATTTTCGCGTGTTCGCAACGCCGCGAGAATCAGGATTATAACGTGGTATCGATTTCTTGCTAAACAGCCTGAATCTGCGGAGCATCCCTACCTATTCATTTAGAACGTTCCAGAACATACGAGCGTGCTTCTAGTCGGGGTCGATCGAAGCAGAAATGCACGTAGCGTGACGACGGAACGACGGACCAATCGGCGTCGCCGACACTGACGCGCTCGGCCAATCAGCCGCTGGCATTGCGTCAGAACGTCGCGATTGGGGGTTAGGATATAAAGTCGACGTCAGCTCGCTGCGGCTTAGTTCAGTGAGCGTCGAAGAAGCAGAGATCTCGTGAGTTCGTCGCATTGATCGTCAGTCTTGCACAAGACAGCGATATCTACTGCAGCTAGAAGCTTTCACCCCAAAAGGTTCGATATTTCTCTACCAGAATTCTTAGCTTGTTCTTCTCGGGATTCTCAGGAAACCAGCCGCGAGATATTCGCGAATATTATCGCGCACGAGAATTTGTCAGAATTTTTGCCTTCCGCTTATATTATTCTTTATTTCATTTTATCAAAATTTCTCAGGACACGAGCTTGTGCGTCTGATCAACGATCGTTTCTAATGTTCCAATTGTGAATTTTAAAGATTTCTTACAAGCGTCTAAACGCAATATGTTATAGTCATCGTGTCGACCCTGTTGCTAGGCGGACATTTCCGACCTTGTCATTTTTTTTAGTGTAGATCGGAGAATCTGTAACGATTCAGAGAGAGAAGATAATTTTAATAAATATTAGCACGATATCCGTGTAATATTAGAATATAGATGAGAGGTTTTGCCTTTGCTTTGTTTCGCCCGATCATTATAACGGAATTATTGCGTGATGACTCATCGTGCGTCTACTGCGCAATACCAAACCAAGATGGCTGTTATTGATTTCATTGTGTCGTGCTGAGAGCTGATAATAGATTTCCATTCACGATTGGTGCAATATGCTCCCTTGATATTTATTGCACCACGATAAATTTTTATGATTAATCGATATCTGCAGTTTATACCTGCATTTATTTCACCGGAGCTCGAGTAGAGTGTAAAATTACGCGTCTTCAGACATATGTGGCGTACTTTTCCACCACCTATTAGTAAGTTTTGCAAGAGACAATAATTAATAATGTCAAACATTATTACAGAGCACCATGCAGATTTTCGTGAAGACATTAACGGGAAAAACCATCACCCTCGAAGTCGAGGCCTCCGACACGATCGAGAACGTGAAGGCAAAGATTCAGGATAAGGAAGGGATCCCACCCGATCAGCAGCGTCTCATCTTCGCCGGAAAGCAACTCGAGGACGGACGTACTTTGTCCGATTACAACATTCAGAAGGAATCTACCCTTCACTTGGTACTTCGACTTCGAGGTGGTATGCAGATCTTCGTGAAGACTTTAACGGGGAAGACCATCACGTTGGAGGTTGAGGCTTCCGACACTATTGAAAATGTCAAGGCGAAGATTCAGGATAAGGAAGGAATCCCCCCGGATCAACAGAGATTGATCTTTGCTGGAAAACAACTTGAAGATGGTCGCACGTTATCCGACTATAACATCCAAAAAGAATCGACTCTGCATTTGGTTCTTCGTCTACGCGGTGGTATGCAGATTTTCGTCAAAACCCTGACTGGAAAAACGATTACCTTGGAAGTGGAAGCATCAGACACCATTGAGAATGTGAAGGCGAAAATTCAAGACAAAGAAGGCATTCCACCTGATCAGCAGAGACTGATCTTTGCGGGTAAACAGCTCGAGGACGGACGAACTTTGTCAGACTACAATATTCAGAAGGAATCTACTCTGCATTTGGTACTCCGACTTCGTGGCGGTATGCAAATCTTCGTGAAGACTTTGACGGGGAAAACCATCACTTTGGAAGTTGAGGCTTCCGACACGATCGAGAACGTGAAGGCAAAGATTCAAGATAAGGAAGGGATCCCACCCGATCAGCAGCGTCTCATCTTTGCTGGAAAGCAACTTGAAGACGGACGTACTTTGTCTGATTACAATATACAGAAAGAATCTACCCTTCACTTGGTACTTCGGCTTCGAGGTGGCATGCAGATTTTCGTGAAAACTTTGACGGGGAAGACCATCACGTTGGAGGTCGAGGCCTCCGATACCATCGAGAATGTGAAAGCTAAGATTCAAGACAAAGAAGGAATCCCGCCTGATCAGCAGAGGCTCATATTTGCGGGTAAACAGCTCGAGGACGGACGCACTCTGTCCGACTACAACATTCAGAAGGAATCTACCCTTCACTTAGTACTTCGACTTCGAGGTGGTATGCAAATCTTCGTAAAGACTTTGACAGGAAAGACCATCACGTTGGAAGTCGAGGCTTCTGACACTATTGAAAATGTCAAAGCGAAGATTCAGGACAAGGAAGGAATCCCCCCGGATCAGCAGAGATTGATCTTTGCCGGAAAACAACTCGAAGATGGTCGCACGTTATCTGACTATAATATCCAGAAAGAATCCACCCTCCATCTGGTGCTTCGGCTTCGAGGTGGCATGCAAATTTTCGTCAAAACGCTAACCGGAAAGACGATTACGTTGGAGGTCGAGGCTTCCGACACCATCGAGAATGTCAAGGCGAAGATTCAAGACAAAGAAGGAATTCCACCCGATCAGCAGAGGCTGATCTTTGCGGGTAAACAGCTCGAGGATGGACGGACCCTGTCTGATTACAATATCCAGAAAGAATCCACCCTCCATCTGGTGCTTCGACTTCGAGGTGGTATGCAGATCTTCGTGAAGACTTTAACAGGAAAGACCATCACGTTGGAGGTTGAAGCTTCCGACACCATCGAGAATGTCAAGGCGAAGATTCAAGACAAAGAAGGAATTCCACCCGACCAGCAGAGACTGATCTTCGCGGGTAAACAGCTCGAGGATGGACGGACCCTGTCTGATTACAACATCCAGAAAGAATCCACCCTTCACCTGGTGCTTCGACTTCGAGGTGGTATGCAGATCTTCGTGAAGACTTTAACAGGAAAGACCATCACGTTGGAGGTTGAAGCTTCCGACACCATCGAGAACGTCAAGGCGAAGATTCAAGATAAAGAAGGAATTCCACCCGACCAGCAGAGACTGATCTTCGCGGGTAAACAGCTCGAGGATGGACGGACCCTGTCTGATTACAACATCCAGAAAGAATCCACCCTTCACCTGGTGCTTCGACTTCGAGGTGGTATGCAGATCTTCGTGAAGACTTTAACAGGAAAGACCATCACGTTGGAGGTTGAAGCTTCCGACACCATCGAGAATGTCAAGGCGAAGATTCAAGACAAAGAAGGAATTCCACCCGACCAGCAGAGACTGATCTTCGCGGGTAAACAACTAGAAGACGGACGCACCCTGTCTGATTACAACATCCAGAAAGAATCCACCCTTCACCTGGTACTTCGACTTCGAGGTGGTATGCAGATCTTCGTGAAGACTTTAACAGGAAAGACCATCACGTTGGAGGTTGAAGCATCCGACACCATCGAGAATGTTAAGGCGAAAATCCAAGACAAAGAGGGTATCCCTCCCGATCAGCAAAGATTAATCTTTGCGGGTAAACAACTAGAAGACGGACGCACCTTGTCCGATTACAACATTCAAAAAGAATCTACGCTTCACCTTGTACTTCGTCTCAGAGGTGGCAATATCTAACTATTTATTACTATGTTCTCTCATTTACTGTCTTAGAAATGTTTTGTATCTTTTTTTCGATATATCAGGATTAGTTACATTCAGCAAAAGATTGGAGGAATAAATAATTTATTTTGCGCAGTGTATATGTGTCTCCTTTGTACTCTAATGTTCTTGTACCCAACCTATGATCTCGCGATATTGATTATCTTCAAGAACTGAATTAAATGATAATTTATAGCGACTACATATATTTATGTGGTAGTTGCAATACATTATCGCTACTGTCAAGTTTATCAGTTCTATTCTAATTTGTACGTTTATCAACAACTAGAAAATTAATTTCGCAGTAATCACTTAAATAAACGAAATAAAAGTGACAAATTTATTTCTATTGTTTGTTCTTATGTGTGTACGATTTATATACTGCTTTAATCTTACGTGGCATTTATTTTCGCGACAACAAATGATAATTTTTGGCATAAGGAACTTTATATTTCAATTTTTGGTTCAATTTTTTGGACAACGAAAGTGTCGTCGTTAACTCCAATAACGAATTACAGAATCGCATCACTGTGGTGCGATTCTGTAACTCGTTATTGGAGTTAACCACAGTTTTGTTATTGTTGCGCAGCTTTTCTACGGTATACAAAAGCTGCGCAACGATAACGAAAGTGTCGTTAACTCCAATAACGAGTTACAGAATCGCATCACTGAGCCCTTATTCTCGAAAATTCGTGAAAAATATCATATACGATATTTTATCAACGGAGCGGTTTAATTGGCTGAGAATCGTGATATCTGGTGACATGGTTCATGAAATATCGTATGCGACATTTTTCAAGAATACGGGCCCAGAACTGTAACATCTGCATAGATGGAAAAATAGTGGTAAAATAGAAACGGCACGTTAAAAGAAGTTGTCCTCGTGTCTACCCGATGGCACCACTAGGCTTTCGATTTTCACGATGCACACGAGGATCATTACGGCGCAAGCGCCGTCGCACGTAATGCGATCACGTCACACGAACACGAAGCTTGATCGAATTTGTAAGTTACAAAGCAATATTTTAAAACAATTTCAGTTTTGACCGAACACACCCGTTAATCGGGAATTGATAATTGTACAGAATAAATAGCGAGCAAAATCTCTTTCGATTCATTCCGATTGTTGCGCCACTTGTCCCGTAAATCAATCCCGCCGCGCGGAACGAATTCAGCCATGTTGCTCATTTTCTCGGGAAGAAATCCGAATGCACATTTCGGGCATAAAAGGCGCAGCTGTGCACGCGGCCTTGCTTCGATTTGCAGATAATCAATCGCACCCCGCTCCATAATTGAATAACAGACGCCACAGTCGGAGAACTCGAAAGCCGCACTGCGTGCGATGCGCTTCGCGATACCAATTTACCGTGCCTCTCGCCTTTTGTTCCGCAGAACGAAATAAAAGCGGTCGTCGCGTAATTGCTAACGGCACTGTATTTTGCAGTTATTTGCACTTCGATGATACACAAGCGTGGGCGCAACGAGCCGGTGGGAAATTTTTGCGCGCCAACGAGATGCGAGCGTATTTTTTCCCGGCCACGTAACGCGAGAGATTCAATAACCAAGTGCGGTGAAAAACATGTAATTCCGCCGATAACGCATTTTTCCCGGTTTCTGTGTGAGGAAGCTCTTCAAAAATAAAAAAGAGCAGTGAGGGAGGTGCGCGATGGTTGCCATCCACAAAAAAGCAGGCAAGTTGAAAGATTTATGATACTTTATGGACTATTATAAACATTATTTTTGTATATTTGCATCAGAGAAAATATTTTCCATTTTATATTGTCTTTTATTTAATGGTTTATGTCACAGCGAAAATTGCTCGCACGTGAATTACATCTGCTGTTACTCTTTCTTTTTATTCCTTTTACGCTGGTTAGTCAATGAGATATCTCATTCTGAAAAGTTTCTCTCGGAAAATGTCGGCACTACTTCTCCTTTTTAAAGACATTGTCTCGTAATAATTAAACGAGATGTTAAGCAAACGAGCTGCTTATCTACAGTCACATTAACATCAACGAACACTTCCAGTGTCTTTGGAGAGTGACGTTTCTGGAGTGATGCTTTCGAGCGGGGTCACCTTTGACGATTTCTCATTTATCCTCTTAACGCTATTTCGGTAAAACTAGACAAAGTTTCTAAAACGGTCATTTCTGCCAACGGAGAAGCTTGCACTTTTCCATGCAATAATAATCGTCTTTATTAAGACTTTCCGCGTCAGATCTCGTTTACGTGACTTGTCGTCTACATAATGTGGATCGCTTTGTCGTATTACAGGTCAAATTTTATCTGTCAAATAACGTGGGTCCCGTCATAATTATCAAAGTACTTTGTGATTACGTTTCATTTTAGAGCCAAAGTATCAAACAATCTGAACGGAAAGTTTAGCGTATACCATCGCGGCACGAAACGTGTTAACGGGGAAAACCTTTTGGTATACACGACAGAATAATATCGTATCGTGGACAGACAGCAATTAAAATCATAATAATACGGCACAGCTAATGTAAAATGTAAAAGTAAAACGGAAAAGTTATATATGTTATATCGTTTAAATACACATAAAAAAATATTGCCATTTCAGCGATAGAGATATTCGCGAAAACATTGTTCCACTCGATACAGCGTAAATAGTTATTTTCATGTTGTAATTAACACATTCAAAATATTTTATAATAGATATCGATGGAGAAGAGAACAAAAGTATATGGGAAGCGGCAATACGAAGGCGACGGATGAATCGTGATGAAGTTACAAAATATAAAAGATTGAACGGGGAAACACCAAAATATTCCTAAAAGCAGGTAAAAGAAAAGATCTAACTAAGAAAAGAAAAGAAAAACTAGGAAAAAGATCTAACTAGGATATCTAGACGTATTAACAATTCAATTCTGTTGACGGGATATATTAAAATAATCGTGTATCAATCCGGCCTGAATTAAAAGAAGATAACTCTAGCGAGTCGGCAAAATGGAATAGAATTATCGTATCACGAGACAGATCGTAATCGCCGATTATGACAAAATTAGTGTCGGCAAAAGTAAGCCGCAGTTCCACACAGACCGGTGATGGAATTCATAAGCGCTAGGATCGGAGTTAGGCAAAGTGTAGGCTAGCGTATTGATAATAACAATACAGAAACTCAGTCCAGCTTGAACGAACAGCTGCTGCAACAAAAGGGAGAAGGAATTGCAAACTGCTATCGGGACTCCACTGTCTCTCGAGCAGCCGCTATTTTGAAAATTTCTATCGCAACGGTGCATGTAAAAGAGGTTGAAATAATTATGTCTGGCTTTTCACGTAAAATGAGCCGAAAGTACATTGTATATTCTTTGTTCTTTCGGACTTCAGACAACTTTCTCTCTCAAATGTTTCTTCATACCCTGATAGTATACTGGAAAGCAAAACGGTTTTGACAGTTTTTTTTCTAGCGACATGGGTAATCCGTGCAGTTGTGAATTTGAGAATCATTTGCGCGCGCGCGCGAGAGAGAGAGAGAGAGAGAGAGAGAGAGAGAGAGAGAAAGAGAGAGAGAGAGATCCGCGATCTTTTATTTTGCGCAGTTTGGTTAAGTAGTGATTCTCAAATTCACAACTACACGGATTACCCATGTCACTAGAAAAAAAAAAAAACTGTCGAAACCGTTTTACTCTTTCCAGTGTACACCGAAGAATGATTTCTCCGTCCACGCGCGCGCGTTTCTTTCTTTCAAATCAGAATGATCAGCTGCAACTTTAGGGTGGCGGCATTAAAAGACTCAATTAGTCCCATTAGTGACTCCAAAGCCCATCACAGATTTTAGGCGGTTCTTTACTTTCATCTGTTCCTTTTTCTGGTACTTGACTTCTTGAATGTTGTGCTTTGCAGCTTGAAACACATACTCTATGCGAACCGTTACATTTTGAGAGAGAGAGAGAGAGAGAGAGAGAGAGAGAGAGAGAGAGAGAGAGAGAGAGAGAGGGAGAGGGAAAGAGAGAGAGAGAGAGAGAGAGAGAGAAGCATGTGTACAAGCTTACAAGCGCGCGTGTCGGCTAATGTACGAAGAAAACATTATCCAGAGAGGAGGGCAACGGAGTCGCAGCGTGTGTACCATAATACACTTACGGTACCTTAGGTAGGGCTGAGAGAGAGAGAGAGAGAGAGAGAGAGGGAGGGAGAGGGAGAGAGAAAGAGAGACAGACCACAAGAGTCGCTAAGAGCCCGCGCAACACGGGCTCTTGTACTCAGTCCAACTCGGTCCTCGAACTGGTCCTGTGGCACGCAGCGTGGTGACCGGCGAACCGCACCGTTCCCGGCGTCAGTCACAGCATCCGCGTGGTACTTGACATCGTGCTCTTCTCTTCTCTCGATCACTCTCTCGGGCGATCATCGCGAGATGAGCCGTCGGGCGCAACGACAGTGGTACACATCGACAATCGTACACGTCTCCTCGCTCGTTGTCGAGAAAGACGGCCGATGAAAATCGCGAAAGGTTCCGTTCCGATTTCCCTACACACGGCTACACGTAGAAGCAGCAGAGAGACACTCTCGGTATCTCACTGAGGTGCCTCGCCGAGATATTATCACACGCATACATACGCGCGCGCGCGCGCGCGCGTTGGCGAAGATCGGCTGTATTCGACTTGTAATTATTATATAAGAGAAACGGAAGACGCGCGTCTCTCAGAATCACCTTCGTCGCTAACGGTCTACCTCGAGCTGCGAGGTGGCGTGATTGATTCCGGTCCGGGTTTTAGCCGAGTCGTACGCTCCCGCTGTTGCACAGAGAGCGGAGAACGCGGAATTGGAACGTTTAACGTCACGTTAAAATAATCCCGCGCGCGCGCGCGCCGGCGATTTGTTTCTACCGCTCTAGTAACCTCTTGCTTTGTTTCATCCGACAGCTCATAAGAAGAAGCCTAGCAGAGCCATCCGCAGAGCGCACACGAGGGCGAAGGGAGTCGACTCGCCGGCGATAAACTCAAAGTGATCGAGCGCGGAAACCAGCGCGGGAAAACCGAACGATCGTCCGCACGGCAACGACGCGGGGCAAGGCGGATCCATCAGCGAAAATGAGCGGCTCAGCGGTTTGCTTGCTACTGCTGTCGGCAATATCGGGTAAGTCGTCTCTGAAGCCGTAAACAAGCGGCCACCTCATTCAGCCGGGCCAACGCGGAAAGAAACATTTTTGCGGAGTAACGACCGAGCGGCAGAACTAGAAAGGCAGACCGCATCCGAGCGAGGCGGATGCCGGCGGAAGATCGGAATCGGCGGAAGCGTCAGAATTGCAACCCGCGCGACAAGTAACGCTTCTAATTTGGCATTCTCATTTTCTGTTCGATGCAAATTGCGCTTCTCCTTAGGAACTCACATATCCGGAAAGGCGGTCGCGCGCGCGCGCGCCTCCGCATTGACGATTAAATATCTTAGATCCTGACGTCTGTTACGGGCTTGAATAATTCGCAGGAAGCGAGCGCGCGCCCTCCTTTTTTCGGATTAAACTCGCACACTTCCATAACGCGCGAATATCGCCGGGAGGAGGAGGAGGAGGAGGAGGAGAAGGAAGAGAGAGGGAAATTTACTTAACGAAAGTTAGCTCTAAGCGGCGCTGGTGCAACCAGCTCTTAACAGATTAGTTCGGTTTTAGCATGCAAGCGTCTGGCAATAACGTTAAGGCTTCAGTCTCGATAAGCAGATTTCGAAGCCGGCGAAGAGGCCGGGTCTTTTGAAAAGCGCGTAAGTCCAAGTGGCGAGAATCCGCATTGAAATCGCCGCCGAGTGATCCCGGCATTTTTAAAGATTTGCTCCCGCCGAGAGTCACGTCGCCAACCTCGGCGATCTTCCGAAGTCGAGAAGGAGGGAGAACACGCGTTTCGTTCGGTCGCGAATTTATGTCCGCCCTGCGACAGAACGTGCTCGTGTCGCCATTGGGAATAACAACATGTTTATCATCGCGCTATTTTCGCCTCTTTTTCCTTCTTTCCTGTTTTTTTTTCGAAACGGATATTCGAGTAACAGCGAGGATATTAAGGACGACGTCACATTTCGCGGTCGCGCCAAGTCAAATTTTCGCAGCTGCCGTTCGTTATTTGATTGTTATCAATCGCGGTTGACCGGGCGGTAAAATGAAGCATGCGATTTACGGTTAAGCGCCATCAGCAGTGTGCCGTCAAAATGGCTGTACATTGTGCAGCGGTGCAGAGTGTAATGGACGTATTTGACGCGCGGAGAGCTATTCCGCGAGCGCAACACCGAAATGCTCCTTCGTCGGGTCTCTCAATTTACCGCGGCGATTGACAATCGCCGATTGCATCCCGCCGACGCAAGGAAGAATTCGTACAATTCCAACTCTCTCTCTCTCTCTCTCTCTCGCTTCAGCTCAATCCTCCTCAGCCTGAAGCACTCGCGAGAGAGAGTTGCGTGTGCGTTAACAAAGTATAAATATTATCGCAAGTCTGGAGTTGGATGAGGTAGACGGCAGCGAGTGTCCTCGAATAATACCAACTGTCGGAGAGCAAACCTCTGACCGTTAGGGTCGCGGAGCAACTGTAAGTTCTATTTCGAAAGCCTTAGCCGGCGAAGGTCCCCCGCGGCAGAAATTAAACTCCAGAAATAGAGACAAAAACACATCGTCCGCGCACATATCGTGAGGCACGGGCGCGCGCGTTGCGCGCTCGAAACTCGCGTCCGTAAGATTGCAGCTCTATTTGTTTGCCTTCCCTCCGCTTCTTTTTTCCATCGCGTTCGACCGCTCGATACGGGAACCGACCGTCGAAGATCACCCGCGCGAATACACCGTTAGACGCGCCAGCGGTGGGCGGAGGGTGAAAGGGCACGCGTTCGGCGCGCCGGCGATATTTCTCGAGGAGTCGATACTTGTCGCGGCTCGAATTCGGTCCCCCCGATTAATCGACAAACCGAAACTCGCCGCTGAATTACGGCGCGCGCGCTCGAAACGAAGCGGCGAATAAGATTCGCCGTGTGTGATGTTTCATTCGTGGGAATTCTCATATTTTCCGGAGATATCTCCACGTGGTATATTTTCCAACCTCAAAGCTCTCTCCCTCCCTCCCTCCTTCCCTCCATCCCTCCCTCTCTCTCTCTCTCTCTCTCTCTCTCTCTCTTTGACTCTCCTGAACGATTAAAAAATCCGTAAGCGAGGGAAAACGGCGGGAGGCCGTGACGTATCTTTGTGTGTATATCTTTCCCGTTTTTTCCCTTCGTTTATTTTTACATTTTTCGGCCACTACCACCACCACCACCACCACCACCACTACCACCACCACCATCACCACCACCACCACCACCACTACCACCGCCGCCACTGCCACTGCCGCCTCCGCCGCCGTCACCACCAACACCACGAATGAGTTTACGCGCGACGATGTGTAGGCCGTTTCTAGCGGGCGAGAGTTTTTTACGAGCGCTTCTGCGGCACAGCTGCGAGCCAGAAGTCGTGGCGGATTCTCTGCGAAAGATAGAATTCGATCTCTTTCTTTCGATGTGTCGAGATACCGCAGTCGGGAGAGTTCTTCTTCCTCGAGTCTCCCTCCTCTCGATCCCGGCGCGTCGCGCTGCGTCGCATCGCGTCGCGTCGCGTCGCGTCGCGTCGCGATGTACTCTCTCGTTTGCTTTCTTTTATGTTTTCTCGCCGTTCTAGTGGTTCGACCCAGACTAAAAATAGAGAGCGTCGCAAGGGTCTGTCCCGCTGACGGGTCAGAAGTAACTTGTCGCTATTAGCGGACGAGGGTCGAGAGCGCGTTGGAGGAGAGATCGTGAGACAAACTTAACGCGTACTCGACTCCGGATCCGATGGAATTAGGACGTGCAGGATTTATTAAATTTTCCCGCGCGGCTTTCCCGGAATATTCCGCGTCGGGGAAATTGGATCCGTTATTTGAGTTATCGAGATAAGTCGCGGACCTGCGAGGAAAATAAGAAAAACCGTCCGCGGCCGACTCGCGACTCTTCTCTGCGTCTTTTTCACCGGGAGCCGGTGTCTGGATATTTTTGTTGGAAATGAGAAGAAGAGAGAGAGAGAGAGAGAGAGAGAGAGAGAGAGAGAGAGAGAGAGAATTGCCCTAAACTTTGTGAAATAGCTAGCTATTACAATTCGACGTTACACTTATACAGGATGTCCCTGTACATGCCAAGTTGAAAGGTCCGGCACGCAAAGTTTGGGCGATATATCATTGACCTACTGACGCAAGATATCGGCTCGATTTTTCCATTAAGATTTCCTAGCACCTAGAACGAGTTCCAGAATATATATCATTCAAATATATTGCCATCAAAGGTATAACGCGTATGCTTTTTTACGATAAATGTCCAATTATGACGTTCGCTAAATTTTCATACCAAGACTTCTGAGTCTGAGCTCCAGAATATGTTTCTGCAAAATATTGCTATGAGATATATATACAAAAAATGTAGTCTCAAGAGAGAAATATTTTAAATTATAATATCCACACAGCCTCGCTCTCTCTCTCTCTCTCTCTCTCTCTCTCTCTCTCTCTCTCTCTCTCTCTCTCTCTCTCTTTCTGACACCAGAATCGAAACTTAATTCTAGATAGAGTACGCGATAAGCAAAGATTCAATAATCTGATGAAGATTCAATCAGTCAAGAATCAATAGATCAAGGATCAATAGATGGGATAATAAACTTTCTATCTTCGCAATGACAACCTTCCTGCCATTGGAAATTTTCCGATAGGACTTGAAAAATCAAAAGGGACGGAAACGAGAGAGTTGTAAGGACAACAGTTGTGTGTGCCAAAGGCACCGGAAAAGTTTCAAAATTTCGCGCGATTTCGATCGATAACGAAAAGAAAGCATTGCTAGATAACGGGGCTTGCGGCCCCATTGAAGCATTGTTAAAAACACACACACGTTGACACTAGGCACTTGAACTTAAATAATAGACGGGATAAATTTCAGCTCGGCTGGCGTGTAAATACATCGATTCTACTCGCTAGAGATTACACGCAATTTGCAATTACGCGCGCGACACTACATTATGTGACACTCTACGAGAGTGAAAATTCAACACTCACCATTTCGCGCTGAAATCCATCGACGTTCAAGCCAGGTCCATCCACGACCAAGTCAGTCAGCTCCACCACAGCGACGAAGCTCGCCACACTGCCGAGCTGCGCCGTTCCGCATCCGGTACGCCGGTAGCATCCAACATCCGTCGTCCCACGTCGACTGCACTTTACTTCACTTCACTTCACTTCTCACTGCACTCGCGACGCGATTAATATTTTACATATTAACAACGTTTCGAGAGAATATCTCGACAGCGTATCAAGCAGCAGTTGGAGTTTGCCTCGGAAAGAAGTCTGCGAGTTCGTTCAACGAATGTCTGACGCAATACAGTTCGGGAACACAGTTTTGACACTTTAGTTTTGTCACTTCGCGAACAGTTCTGACACCTCGGTCCTGACACTTGGCGCGAACGCACTCGCGCCACCGGTAAATTCCGTACTTTCGGAAACACGAGAGCTCGGCTCGCGCGCGCTCCTCGTGCAAAAAAATCGCGAGCCGAGGGCTGATCGTGAGAGAGATCCATCAGCGCCACGCGCGCAACGAAATAATCAAGAGTGGCGTGAAATTCCCACGTCTGATGGCTTCCCGCGCGCGATGCCTCGCCGAAGATTACTCCGTTGTGCTTTCTTGAAGCCGCAGCTCCGCAATATTTTTGCGAGGACTACTCCGCGCCACTTTCGCGAAGTTTCTTTCGCTCGTGATACTTGGTCGACTTTAATTTGACGCAAGAATCTCGCCGAAGAACGTAAACGCGACGCGAACGTATAAACACAAAGGGTCGGAAACTGGAAACTGGCTCGGCGGGCGCAAAAAATCCACGTACGCCGCGTCCGCGAGCAGCAAAGGATATCCCCGGTTATTTGAAATTTCTACTCCCGCGGCCAACGTAATCGCGATGTGTAAACGGGCCGATGAACTTTTACCTTACGTTCCCCGATATTTTCACATATTTCTCGTCAAGGAAATCATATTTTCTCTATTTATGTAAAATTTCAGCGGCTGAACACGGCGTCGATAGGTAAATCAATTCGTCCGCGAGCGGAAATTATTGTCGCCCGAGCGAAGCTCTTTTGTCGGTGTGCGACTCGCGATGCATACGTGACGGATTATCTCCGCGAGAGTTCCACTCGACAAGATTCATCGCCGCTCGTGGAACGTAATCGCGATACGCGAATGTGCGCGTATAAGAAATCCGGGAAATTAATAACTGCGACGATCGGAAAATCTATCAACGCCGGCGGAGTAACGGAGCGTTCCGCGCTCGATCACGCGATTTTGACGCGCGTTATGTAATGCTCGAAACAATTAGGCGAAATCACGTTTAAGAACAATTAGGCGATAGCACGATTCTGCCAGGTAATTTTATAGTTCGGGTTACAAATAACTGTCAATCCATCATATTTATATAAATCTATATTATTTATATAAATATAAATATAAATATATAAAAAAAATAAATATATATTTAATAAATATAAATAAACATATATTTATATTTTGATCAATATATATTGATTAACGTATACAGGGTAAGTCATTTTAAGGTGTGTTACCCACCTTAATAACTTTCTTATTTTTTATTGTAGAAACAAATGTTTCAGACAAAGTTGTATGGTTTAAAGGGGGACATAAAACAATTATAGCCGACTTTCGGATCGACTTTTGGAAATTTCAAATCATCAAATTAACAAAAGTCAGGGCGCTCTTCTAACAATATATTCTTGAGACCAAATAGAGTAAAAAAGCCTAGTATTGTTTTTTTCCGACAAATAATTAACGAGATATCGTAAGTTAAATATTGCAAAAGTTACCAAGTTTTCCTTAAATATCTAAAAAATTATTAGGCAAATAAAAAAATGTTTCAGACAAAAGTTGTCCAAATTAATTGGCAGAGAAAGATGATATAATAAAAAATTGGGGTTTTCGTTTAAGAAAAATAATGATCAGTGAATATCTCGAAAGAGGCGTTATCTGTAAACAAACTGATACAGTTGTTTTATATCCCCCTTGATATCCCCCACCATACAGCTTTTGTCTGAAACATTTGTTTCTGCATCAAAGAATGAAAAAGCTATTGAGATGGGTAATTTAAATGACTCACCCTGTATATTTACATTATTTTTTATATGAATACATACATTTATCAAAGATCAAAATATCCGGTGTATCAACAAAACTGTTACGTACATATCTATCGAACAGCCGAGGGCGATCCCCTAATTACTCCGAGAGACGTATTCACCTGTAGGCAGAGTAAATCGCGTTGATTGCTCAGCGAGACATCTCAAGCACCCATCTCACTTTTCTCATCCGTCACCTTAAATCTTGTCGCCCATTTGTCGCCCTACCGAATATCTCGACCTCCGCCACGTTCCGCTATCTGAATCTGGAACAGAAAAGAGAAACAGTCGGCTGAGATTTTGGGATTCGCTTTAACAAGCGCAAATACGCGTGTAGAGATACGAGAGGATCAATTCTTCGGATTCGCGTGATCCGAATGACCCCGTGACATCGGTGACACCTCGATTTCTGATCCGAAAAGTTCGGGAAGGGAGATGTAGCAAATTCCTTCGACTTCACCTTCGACAGCCGAGCCTGCCCGGCCCGGGTTGGAACCCAACCAGTCTGCATCTGCATCCGCCGGATGTCTCTCCTCCCCTCCCGGGCACTGCGTCTGTTTTGTCGCCGTGAGCGCTGCCGAATCTGAAACAGAAAAATCGTTTCTCGCATCTAGTCAACAAACGGTCACTCGCTTTAGAATCAGAAAAACGGTGTGTGTTCTTCGGATGTACATCTTCCTTTACTTTGGACACGAAGGCGACGTGCCAGTAACCTTTCTCAGAGTGGCCCAGGACGACGACCGCGCGCGCGAAGCATCGCAATGGGCGACACACGCGCTGTAATCGAATTTTCATCGAGAAATCCGCAATTCACGCGCGACGCCTTCACGCCCTCACGCCTGTGTGTGTGTGTGTGTGTGTGTGCCTCGTTGTTGTTTCCCATTGTTGTGCCGAAGAGCCGACGTTGGCTGGCGCGGTCTTATTGCCGCGCGTCTCTAATTGTTTTCCACGACACGCTGTTTTCCGCGGAATTGCCTTCCTTCCACTTGGAAACTCGGAGACGGTCGAGATCAGATAACGCTTGAGACAAAATCGCATTACATATACCGTGATCGATTCTGCATCCCGATCTATCGATCCGTGGGTCCTCGTGGGTCCTCGTCGATGATGAAGATCCCGGGTGGGATCTTTTCTTTCTGGCCGCTCGCATCGTCGCTCGCTAAGCGGAACGTTTTCGTTGGAACGAGTATATGCGCCCTCCCTCTCTCTCTCTCTCTCTCGCTCATGGTACATTACCTCTCCTATGTATGACCCGCTTCGAACGGACTTTATTTCCCAAATTCCGCTTCGCCGTTCCCCGCTGTCGTATCTCTCTACCCGGGCTCGCCCACACGAGCGACACGAGCGACACGGAAGCTCAAAGCTTAAAGCTTGTTGAAATGGCACGCGGAAAAAGACTTACGCGCTTCCCTCCTCGCGATTCCGTTCGATGAGTCTCCGCTCTTTCTTAAGTCGCTCTTTTATTTGCGGTCGTCCCGCAGCGAAGAGGTCGGAGGCTGCGTGATTGAACGCGGAAGGGAATCCCCTTGCGACACGCGCGCGCGCGCGGCGGAAGGAATAAAAGGAGGAGCGCCGTGTCGCTGTTAGAAGCGAGCACTATCGCGTCACTCACGATGGATGATGGAAGCACGAATTTAGCCGAAACGCTCGATATTTCACAGGGCGGGAGGAATATATGCATGTTATGAAAAAAAAGAGAGAGAGAGAGAGAGAAAAATAGAGAAAGATCAACCGGGACAATTCGAATCGAGTTAGAGACGAACTCGATTTCGAGCCTGTGTATGGCGAGCTGACCGCAAAGTTTTGGCACACCAATTCTCCGCGAATCTGCCTTTTGTGCAAAATCAGCTGAAAAGTCAGCTCGATTGTTGGTTCAATTCGACTATGGCTCAAAATGCGACAAAATGCACGCGAGCCTCCTTTCCTTTATTTCGTATATACGTGGCGCGAAAAATCCCGCTGTCGCCTCTCTCATGCAAATGTCTCGCGCGAGACAGCAACGGCGCGACAAATCGTCCGCCGTTGTCGAAAAGTAGCCGGGTCTCTCTCTCTCTCGTCCTGTGAGAGAGGAAGGTAATGGGCGCGCATTATATCGGAGGGAAAGTATTATCAGCAATTGAACGTGATTCGCGATAATCGGCCGGCGATGGCGATGCATATTACGCGGCGAGTTACCGCGGAGGTAAAACGCGGGCGAACAAACGCGAGACTCCCACGGCGATCTTTAGTCGCTTTCACCCTTTCTTCGGCGTTATACGCAAGCGTATAACGTGAACGTAGCGCGCCGCGCTCTCACGCGCGATAGCGAATTAGCGTGATTATCGTCGATTATTTTCAATTCACTTACGTACGGCTGCATAGCGCGGCGGCGCGGCGGCGGGCAGGTAGCGGCACGCTACCCGTTATTTTTCCAGTTCGAATCGAGTTACGAGTCAATAGAACACGGGTAATTCGAAATATGTGTTCGATCGACCGGATAAAACGTGCCCCGCAGTAACGGGTCGGGTGTAGGAGCAATTTGCGCTTTCCCGGATACCCGCAAGTCGATCCACGGCCGGGATTTTTTCCGATCTCTCGGCTCCGACCCATTTTCGAGCGGTCTCGCGTGTCGCTTCTATCGCCGCGTATGCTAATAAGTTTTGTAACCCGATACACACGCCTTGTTTGCTTTGGCGTAACGTACGGCCGATAAATCAGCCGGGGGAATTAGCATAATTGCGCGCGTGTTCGCGTTTCGTCGGTAAGTATCTTTCGCGATCCGATCCGATCCGATCCGTCGTATCGAGTCGCGCGCCGAGTAAATTCAGCCCGACAGCGATGCCGTGCGTTTGCGAGAGCCGAGCTTTCGGCGGTTTGGACTCCGGCTGAACTTCCGCGCCCGAAGACGAACGAGAAACTCCGTTGCCCGATCAAGATCGCGGCGGTTTATCTTTCGCCGACGCTCGTCCTCGATCTCGGAGAGTCGCGCGACAAAAATTCCGCTCGCGAGCGCGCGCTCGCGCTCGCTCGCCGACTTGCAAGTACCCCGAGGGAAAGGAAAAGGGCAAGAGGGGAAGAGAGAGAGAGAGAGGGAGAGGCGGAGAGAGAAAGAGAAAGAGTCGACAGTTCATTTCAATTTGAGCTCTCTCGCGAACTCGATCCAATTTTCAGCGGCGCCAACCCCGATCAATTTTGCGTTCCGTTTAAATTTCTGCGTGTACCTTCTCCTAATTGAATCTGCATTTCTGATCAGCGCACGATTTTATCGTTTGACGATTGACCACAATCTATATACGATAATACACGCGCACTCGCTCGATCGCTCGTGTACGTGTATGTGTGCGGTGTATTGCGGATAGGTATGGGGTGGATGGGCGACCGAGGGGAGGGGGGGGGTGCGAGCGCGCGACTACCGCGGGGTTCATTTCCATATGCATGCACTAACGTCCCGGATAAATGCGTACACTTTCGGTAGGCCGATATACACGTACTCGGCCTCATTTTCAGCGAAACGCTTTTACATTGTGTTACTCGGGCATGCCGAACACGAAAACGCTCTAGGTGCCTATTGTTGCCGACGAAGTTATCAATTTATAACGGAAATTCGGGTCCCAGCCCACCGCCTCCAACCCCCACTCCCAGTCCCCCTCCCGTCGCGGAACAGCCACTGTCGCAGGGTAGATAATAGCGCCAAAGTGTCTTACATTATTTATGGTTACAACGGTCACGCAGAAGCGCGTTAATTAATTTCCATACCGACGACACTCGCAGAATTTATCGTGTATGGTGAACTCCCGTCGTTTCGTGGTCGCGGTCCGCAGTCGCCTGCTTTGTCGTCGTCGTCGTCGTCATCGTCGTCGTCGTCGTTGTCGTCGTCGTCGTCGTTGTCGCCGTCGTCGTTGTCAGCGACGACGACGGCGGCGGCGTCGTTACGAGCAATTGCGGGATTTTGCGCGAGCGAGCGAGTGTCGCATATTTTGCGATTTCCCCGAGCATTCGTCGCGTCGCTCGGTAAAATGTTTTTAACAAGACCGCGAAGTATTCAATTTCTCGTCGTCACCGGCGCGTCATAATTCTCCAATGTGCGCCGAATAGTTTGTCGTTCGACAAAGTTTGATACGAACTCGCGCCGGCGCGACAGCGATATTTCACGTCACGTTTTACACGTGTTACAATTAATTTCTTCTCTCTTTTTTCTTTGTTTTTGTTTCTCTTCCCACACACACACACGTACGTCTGCCGGCCATCGAGTTCGCCCGGCCAACGGAATATAATTTCATAATGATGTGCACGTAACGACAGACAAGTGTACGTCGCTAACATTTAGCGTGCGATTTAGCGGCGATCGTGTGGCGAATACGCGCGCGCGCGCGCGTTTCAGTCGCGAGATTACGGCGACGCACAGTCGCAATCACGGGGGCGGAGCTTAATGCGAAAATCACCGGCTACTTGGAGCGATTATTAATCAAACGTCGAGGAGCGCGCGCCGTCTCTCCCGGCGACTTTCACGTCGCCGCGCTTAAAGCGCCGTTTATTTTCGATCGCTCGTTTCCACAACGCCGTTCCGCGAATCCCGCGAGAGCCGCACCTCGACGAGCCGGCGTTATCAAACCGGCTTCCTCGTGCGCTTGTCGCGTCCGACCGTACCGCGTCGTTATCAGCCCGCTAGAACTCGAAGGCGACTTAGTGTCTGCTGGAAAGTCATCGATTACGCGGAGGCTACGGCGTGATACTTCCTCGGCTACTTATAATCAACGACGACGACGGCGATCGGTTGCGCTTCTTCATTTTTCCTCACCGTCACGTCTAGGTGAATGATTCGCCGCTCGGATGACGGGAACGTCATTTGCCGGGGAAAAGGGTAGTCGCGAGATGGTAATTATAGGGGATGCACCTTCGATGACTTTGACCTTGTCAAGGTACGTTGTCAAGGTCATCACCCTGAATAACGTGCGAAAGGTTGTAGGCGGCGTTTGTTGTCTGTTAAAAAGTTATCAACAAAAGAAGTTGAACAAAATGAACGTAATTTGTATTTGCCGTTCGTAATAAACAACGACCGCCAATTTAAGCTCTTCGAATGGTACTCGAAACCATCAAAACGAATTATCAATACGTTCGTTTTTATATACATAAGTTTTGGCACTTGAATCTTTCGCCTTTCTAAATTGACAAGTCTATCGTATACTAAAATTGTAGATTCCGAAATGATCAGCAAAGACCCCTAAGCAAGGTTTGCATTTAAGTAACTTATCTACGTATCTCGTATGTCAAATTTTGCGCAAGGATCTTTGTTAATCTTCTCAGAATCTGTTATTTTAGTACTATATCGTAGACTCATTAATTTAGTAAGGGGAAAGATCGTACTTACGAAACTTGTTTTATATTTTCAATAATTATAATCATATAATAAATTTATACGACAGAATATATGCAAAATATGTATATTTTTATAACTCTTGTCAACACGATCGTATGCTATGCTGATGCCTAAATGAAGGATTTAAGAATATATGAAAGAAATTTTTGGATAAAACAGTAATAACTTTTGGTAATTATGCAGTTAAGCCTCTCCTCTGCTCACACATATGTGCAAAGTTTACCGTA